TCAAAGTTTCATGGTAAATAGACGACCCCTCCCTGGTTAGTAGTCGTTACAGGGTAGTATTAGAGAGGATACATCGTGTTAGAACTACCCCGGATAGAACTACCGGAAGGGGAAGGTGGTAAGGGGAGTAGCAAAGTAGGAGAGGCAGGAGTGATACTGGGAGAGGGAGGGCAGGAGGTGCATGACAATTGTTCGGCGAGAATATTGGAAATTATGACACCACAACAAATTTCTTGAAACATAACTATATAGGGAACTGGTAAGTAGTCAGTTCGGGTAATAGTTGTTACAGTGTTACAGTGAATGTGCAGAGTCACGGTGGTGTTTTACAAAATCATATAGAAAAAAAATTAACCAGACCGTTTGGTCAATAGCAGATCAATCATATCTCCCTTCACCACCCATTTTACCAGCCCAAAGAGCCCTGCGCCCCTGCTAATTTCTTCATTTCATTTTGTCCCCCACTTCAGACTCCCAGTTAAGTTTTCCGGACTTTTCTCTTGGATTTCCAGAAACTCTGAGCTTTTACTAGTTGATATTCCGTTCACCTCTCCAAAGCTACTGCTTATAAGTGTTGTATTATGCATTATTCATTTTCACTTGTTGTTATTGGACCCAACCAAAGAATATAATAGGTAGTAAAGTACAGTAAGGCATTGAACGATTACTGCTTCACATCCAATTCTGAAAGAAGCCCGGTCAAAGAACTTTCCTCACACTAAAATTGAATGGATTTCAAAAAATCCAAACTTGAGCGACATCATTGTCGTAGATGGCACTGTCCTTGTCCTTTGTGATATGATGAGCACAACGTTGCATCACCAGGGAACCGTAGTATTAAATACATAGAAGATGTATTAAGGAAAGTAAGAGATACACATTTAAGTCCAGCACAATGTCCAGTTGGGAAGTATTCGTGCACTAGGAATGTGACCACTATTGCCGCGCGAAGAGCGCGGCGCCCATCCTTACCAGATGTCTCGGTTGTAGGGGCTCAAGGTTTTTGGATCATCGGAATTTCTTACGAGTTCATGTCCAAAGCAGCGGGAGTCAATTATTTATTTGCTTACGGCAGTGACCTTCATTGAATACACAAGATACCCACACAGCTATGCTTAGCGGGGATATACTCACCTTGAACGGCGACGCCACTTCCTTGACTTTCTGGGCTGATACGGGGTTCAGCATCACCCAATTGATTGAGTAAAAAGGTTTTTATGTGTGACTTCAGGAGTGCTAACTTAATTTGGTTTGTCCTCACTTAGATTCTACAGATTTTCATGGCTTCTTCATTAATCTCGCGGTAAATGAAATGGGTGAGAAGTTACTGCTCAAACCGAATGAAATATCTATAAGTTCCTCACCATATGTGAGGTCACTACTAGAGCTAGCTACGCATTCTGTCATTTCTTCATACACTCCTCTATGAAAAAATATTTGCATACAAAACAGCTCTGTTACCAAATACATCATCAGACTGGTCTTCAAAAAAGGTAATATCCGATGTTTGAAAACAAGTTATATAAGTTTCATAGCCCAGTGGAAAGGAAAGTATTGGACATGGATACATATGCTTCCTTTACAAATATACTAACACTGAAACGAAATCGAAGGGGTTTGTACCAATCGTGTTAGGAGCACGTGATACCGCTGCTCTTGGTACTGGTAGGACAAAGTTTTCGCAAATGTATTTCAAAAGGTTTCTGTGAAAAGTAATACTAACGAAGGAATGCGTGATGAATTTTCGTATTCGTTTCCTCAATTGTAGAACACGTTGCAGTTAAGTGCAATGGAATTTCTGAACTTCTTATTTCTTAGTCCTCAGTCCCCTTTCACCAGTTCGTATTCGTCGGTTTGACTAGTATATCCTCTTGATATTCTCAGGCTATCAATAGACCACTCGGCTCATAGGCATAACAGTGACGGTGAGGATTATGACCACAATGACGGACCAACAATTCCAGCTGCTCATGATGACACTCGCGAACGCTCTCAAAGGAGGCGCTCATTACCAGATGCTGAAATCGACTTCACAGAGGATGATAGCAAACAGAATTTTGACATGCTTGCAGGAAAAGCTGCGGAATTCAGCTATGATCCCAACGCTGCCCTCACGTTCGAATCATTGTATCAACGGCACCAAGATATCTTTGACGTTGGCACTCAGCAGCCCGAAGAGCCAACTCGGGTTCGAAATTCACAACCTGAGTTCTATAGCGTGATCCTGCTCGTCTCCACTACATGTCTCTTTTATTACACTTGTCATACTTTGTTACTATTGTTACACCTTGTTACCCTTGTTACTCATTGTCATTTCAGATTCCTACTTTTGGTTGGTATATCCGCGTGGCACGCCCAAGTTCTCTCTTACCTCCTTTTCATGGTGCATCGGCCAGGCACTGGATAAATGTCAGCAGAACTATAATCCATAGAAGAGAAGCTAGACCACCCACACATCCATCTCGATCGAGGGAAAACGGTAAGGTATGGGGAGCCGTCTCAAAGATTTCAGTCTTCAGCAAGGAATTGGTTTCAATTACAAATACGATTTAAGCTCTGAGCATTCCGACGAGGGAAAAATGCGAAAGAACAGAAGACTTCGAAAGAGTGGATGTACAGCAGAGCAGAACAGGAAGGATTGATGGACGTACCTAAACTGGTAGACCCTGATAAACTCACAGACTCGGATCGTTTCATTGAATCACATTTACAGGATTAAGCAAGGATACAAGGAAATGTGGCTTTTCTTGGGCCCCTATTCGGAGAAGAAGAAAATGGCGACCTCAAGGACTAGCAGGCAATGGAGGAATTGGTGGACGTAGACGATGTCTTAGGGAAAGAGGAGGAAGCGGACTCTGACAAATGATCATTTCGTAAGAGATCAGAGCCCTGTAAGTAGAAGTAATCCAGGAAGGACCAGTTAGATCCGTACGCGAGAAAACAAAGAAAAATTGATACAGAGTCTCAGTAGGGAATATTGTTACGGATGTTACGGTAAGTCGCCTCCATGACCTACACCCTTTTTTGGCGGGAGTCCTCACCTACGGCGGGAGTTCCCTCCTACAAAGCCCCCCATTTGTGGTTACCAGTTAGTTAACTAATCAGTTACTTAGAGAGTTAGTCTCCCGCTTGCTATTTTTTCTTTTGTGCTCGCTTTCTTCTTCCTGAACTAATAAACTCTCGCTTTCTTCGCTCCTTTTCCTGCCCTCCAGGAAAACCGTAGAATTCAGTGCTTCCTTCCTCCGTGAGTCGGAAACTACTAGCAGTTTCCGGCTTAAACCCTGCCCGGTTCCGAGCTCGCTCTTTGATTCCGGGCACGTAAAGTGGGGGATGTGAACGCTGCCATATAGATAAGCCATTCAGGCTTGAGAAGATCTGAGAATGATGATGCGGTAATTGGGGACGCGGCCGTGTTGCCCTACTAGGAACTTAATCCTGGAGTGAGCACGAGAGCAAAGCAGAAATGCCATGCGTCTTCTGTGGGATGAGGACACCACTATTCAGACTCTTGCATCTAATTTATAGGTGTAGAGTCCAGACAGCTGAGGCTAGCACAGGTAGGAAGATACCGTCTTTGTTTAGACAATTGAGGGAAAATGTCGTAAGTTTAATGCTCGATGTCACTACTGGGGTGAAAATGGGTACAACGTGTGCATCTCTGAGCTTCCAGAACGTAAGCGTAAGCTCCAGGAGAAGTTCGAATGGTTGTACAGGGGCTACGAAAGTTGACAGAGCGACTAAAGAGGCATGGCGCGGTCTGACCATCCTCAGTAAAAAATTAATGTCTTTGTGGCTTTCTCTGCCCATTACTATCGCTCTTGCTCCTTCTCTCCACCTGCTCTCACTCTCTCGCTGGTGGTAGTAGTATAGCGGAGAACCGTGATCTTAAGTACGGGAATTCGATCGATAAGTTCCAAGGCTCGAATGTGAATGTTAAGGATGCTGGCTCGCCTCGTTATCTCTTGCTTCATCAGAACGCGAGCCAGCGTCTTCAATACGAAAACTGCAGGATGACTCATAACCGTTTCTGCTCTTCTCCACTATATTTCTCTTTTATTCCTCTTGTTATACTTGTTATTCTTGTTACACCTTGCTACCCTTGCTACTTGTTGTTACTCACTGTCACTTCAGATTGCTACATTTGGTTGCTCCAGCTCATATGTTCTATTTCTTAGTGTCAGTGCTATACTAGGAATTTGATTCTTGATTGTTGGCTGATTTGGTTGTTTATTATCGGTTTAATTACCCAAGTTACTATTGTCTTTTGAATAAAGAGTAGTAGACTTTGTGTGATGGGAGGGTATCTGCGTGGCACGACCAAATTCTCTCTTACCTCCTTTCGAGAAGCCGTCTTAATACTATGTGCCAAACCTGCATGAAGCTGATCAAAGATCCGAACAACGGTTTCGTCACCTTCGCAGTCAATGTGGATGCGCTAAGCTCGGAGAGTACGAAAAAAATCAAACGAAGTGCTTTATATTCGTAATCTGCCTACAATCCAGCAACCATGCCTTCATTTGCCTATAGTTATTACGGAGTGCAAGCGCCTCGCTAACTTGGACCTGGACACCAAAATGGTGGAGGATGGGACACCTGGTCTACACGCAGTCAAGCACCCGTCTACTGGACGGCAACATCAGCTGCTCTAGGAATAAGTAGCTCCGGGCTCACATCAGAAGCGAAACACGACTGAGACGCTTTCCCAGCCGCCTCTCTCTCCGTGCTGGTTTTGCGGAGCAATTCATTTTGCTGCGGAATCGCAGTTACAGCTTCAATTCGAAGTCTGCCCGTGCCCAGCCCAGTCTACTACGGTCGGAATGGATTTCTAAGATGGAGAACTATAATTCCAAATGTCAATCCTGCAAATGCTGCCGCAGTCAACATCAAACACTAACTTATTAGTTCATATCAAGCACTTGTGAATAAGTAAGAATACTTAGCACTGGTAAGACCGCGGATGAAGAGAGAGAGAGGAGCAAGGCCGACGAAAACTACGAATCCGAAGTTGCTATGCTCCACAACAATAGCCAAAACGTGCTCTAACGCTCGACGGGTGCCAGTTAGGCCGGTGGTCATCCTCGATCCCTGCAATCACGCATCCTTCGACGGCTTCTCAACCGACATTCTGGAATCAAACGCGTGAAAGTATTAACTCGCAGCTATGCCATTCGGCCAAAACTGATCGGAAACACTGTTGGGTACTGCATCAGATGCTCGGCAGTGGCCAAGCTTCTAATCAAGACCGCCCTCCGATGCTGGCATACGCCCGAACTCGAATTCACTCGATTATGTCAACCTGTACTGAGGAATCTATTTTTGATATTTGTCAATGACTTCGAAATGGTCGAAGATTGTTAAAACTAGCAGCACCACGACGAAGCCACAATCGCGCTCTTCTGCAAGATATTGCGCCCAGGGACACTGCTTTTCCACGGCGGGACACAAGTTACCACTGATGGGTTCAAAAGATCTTGCGCAAAACACGACACGCCTTTTCCCCGCCGTGTCATCCGCAATCCTATGTACAAGCGGATAGATTAGTTGACCCCTCTGAAAGAGCTCTATTGAGTTTTTCAAAAGGAGAGGCAACAATGTCAGGGAATTCGCGAACCCTCCTCCTGAATTATCGTTCAAGCCCAAGCCTCCAATCGACCGCAGAAGTTTTTTCGGACGGAAACGATTGATCAAGGTTCATTCGAGCCAACCACACCGTGTAAATAGAGGCCCAATCATTCAATGGAATCGTAGTCCAATAAGCTTCATAGCTCGGAATCGGATTTTCAACCTAGTTGACTCAATACTGGCCGTAGGTACCATGGAATTGGTAGGAGTCGAATAATGAAAAAGTGCAGGACGAGATGGGAAAGTTTCTCGGAAGTTCTTGTAGGCAACAAAGCCCGTGTTCGACATGCCAACCAATTCCGGCTGCACTATTTCGACGATGCTTCAACGCAACGCCAGAGCAGAGATACACCTTTCAAAATGTTCGACGTGCCACGGTAACCAACATCTTCGTTTCAATCAGTCAATCAGAACCAGCACAGTATACAGAGCAAGCGTCATCGTAACCAATGATTACCAGTCACGACGATCGACGTGCACGCGACGTTCAACAATCCGTCTCTAGGTGAATCCTCCTCAATAAGCTTCTCTTCAACTATGATACAAAAAAAACTGCATTGTAAGTAATTTCCTCCAAAAAGAGAGACGTTAAGCATCTACGTTGCTGGGATCTTTGGACGCTGGTGTGATTTTGCCGTATAAGCATGGTATATAAACCCTAGTTTTCTCAGTTACCAGCTCTCTCTCACCAGTTCGTTTTAACCAGCCCGTTTTAGCGTTATTTCGTTTTACCAATACATATTCCTGATATTCTCCATATCCTCTAGCTATTGACAGGAGCGGATCACGGACATATAAGCAGTTTGAGATAAAGTGCAGAATAATAGCGATAGATGCGGAAATTTGGGTGTCAGAGGGATTTTCGGTTTTAAAAGAGATTTTGAAATGCATATGACCAACGCAAAAGACTAATAGTTTATTTTTTACGGTGCTTTTTCAAGCTTAGCATATTCTCGGATCAGCTCTGAACCCGTCAGCGAACTCGCTCCAGCTATATGGAAGTCCTGGTTTCGACTTGTGTTCGGGTTTTCAGACGTCAGATTCGAAATTAATGCATTGTTTCACATGAAAACCTCCCAAGGCAAGAGAATTGTGTCATACTGAGCTATAATATTATGTCGAATTACAACATCAGAAGAGAAGTTGAAGACAGGTACGCGAATCATAACGTGCAATACTTCAAGAACTGCCACCTATTGCAGACATGATATCCTCTGTGTTGTGGCTTCCATAAAAGAGTTCAGACTTCAAGCGAGGGCGCACCATCGTGGGGTACTCCGTACACTTTTTCGAATCTCTTGCATCGATCGTAGCTAGCTTGCAACTGTGGGCTTTCGTGCAGCAGTTCCTTCCGCCCCACACTCCTTGAGGATCAGAGAACGCGAGAATTAGTAGCTCGTGAGTAGCTCCTGATTAGGTGGTTCCTAAGTGCCCCAATACATTCCTCAACTGAAACTGCACAAGATCGTATTATTAGGAGCTGACTACCCTACTCTCACGACGGTCAACCTACCATAGCCACGACAACGACCGCTCAGCTGCCCCCTTATTGCTGCGCTGAATTACTACCTGGAAGAATTCTGTTCCGTCCGCTTGTTGCTATTCCTACCCTCAACAAAACATTTTCAAGAATGCCTTCTGTTCGATATAACTTGGTGATTTCGAATGGGATTGTGCGGTACTTTCCGTAAACGCTTCTGAACTGACATCCCATCCACGTAGACCTGATGAGTGTCTCAGTAATAATGGAAAAGATAATACCTCTAAATTGCCGAACGATGAGGAGGAGCTTTACATAAAGTTTTTTTCTTAAACTGTGTTGGAGGAATGCATTGCGAACGGTGGCTAATTCAGTTATATGTAGTACGAAAACCAACATGAACGCAGGATAGTTGCACAGTCCTGTTCCCCATTTGGTCTAGTGAATGGTTCGGTTTCAGTTCCGCTCCATCACTATTTTCTGTTTGC